TTACTGTACTACAGTAATAAAACCTAATGAGAATCATCAATGAGAACAAACAAGCTTAAAAGAAAAAAAAATCCTAATTAAAAATTCTGGTGGAACATTGGATTAAATGTCACGAAAATAACATCGCAGAGCATCACATTATTAATGTTCTTAAATTTTTTTTATTTTTTTTTAGTTTTCACTTAATAGTGTGAAATAATATCCAGATTTGAAATCCACCCTGTGTCCTGGATGCAAATTGTTGAGATCACTGGCAGTGTTCTGTGTAAATTAAAATGCTTGTTTCTATCTCCTCTGCTCTCAATACAACAGAACTGACAACGCTATCTCACGACCAATTCGTACGAATTCGTACGAGTGATTGAAAGGTGGCTAATTCGTACGAATTCGTACGATTTGTCTAAACCCACGTGATGGGTAGGTTTAGGGGCGGGGTCAGGGGTAGGTCATTCGTACGAATTCATACGAATTTGGTAACTCGTAAAATATGTACGAATCAGCAAAAATTACGAATTGTACGAATTGCCGTGAGATCAGGCTGGAACTGAAGCTTCATTTCCATGCTGGAAAGTCTTCTGACGGTGTAGCTGGTTTTACATCTAATTGCCATACCAGATTAACTATCGAACTGTCATAAGTACACCATGCATGGGTCAGTTTCTGACAGATAAATGTGTTATTTGTTATTTATTAGATAAATATGACTTATTTGCTGAGGCAAAGTTACCTACAACTTCACTGCAGATCACAGATTTTAGTAAACCACAATGTTCTGTCTATACAACTATGCTGAAGGGCACACTTTCCCAAATGGAAAGAAAAAATAATGAGATGATGAAATAATGAGATGATTATTATCTTAATTGTTTCTAGACAGCAGTGAGATTAAATGGATTCGCTAAACGCGTTTGCTTAAGTCTCTGAAAAGAGAGAGAAAAAAACTTCTAGTAATCTCACGTCTCTTGAGTTTCAGAAGAGTTCTCAGCAATGACAATGTCACGAACTGCTCTGGGGTGCGTTTCCCGAAAGCATCGTTATCCAACTATGGTCGCAAGTTCCGTCGTTACCAATAGAGTTCAATGGAAATTGCGATCATAGTTGGATAACGATGCTTTCGGGAAACGCACTCCTGATTTGCCAAGACACCAAAGACAGAGAATTCAGCCTGAACTCAAAACATTATCCCATGACTAAAATATCTGCTTATTCATTTGAAAGCTCTATACTTTTACCAGGGATCCTGATTGCATGTCTTTATCATGAGCTTTTAATATACACTCACCGGCCACTTTATTAGGTACCCCATGCTAGTAACGGGTTGGACCCCCTTTTGCCTTCAGAACTGCCTCAATTCTTCGTGGCATAGATTCAACAAGGTGCTGGAAGCATTCCTCAGGGAGTTTGGTCCATATTGACATGATGGCATCACACAGTTGCCGCAGATTTGTCGGCTGCACATCCATGATGCGAATCTCCCGTTCCACCACATCCCAAAGATGCTCTATTGGGTTGAGATCTGGTGACTGTGGAGGCCGTTTTAGTACAGTGAACTCATTGTCATGTTCAAGAAACCAATTTGAAATGATTAGAGCTTTGTGACATGGTGGAAGTAGCCATCAGAGGATGGGTACATGGTGGCCATAAAGGGATGGACATGGTCAGAAACAATGCTCAGGTAGGCCGTGGCATTTAAACGATGCCCAATTGGCACTAAGGGGCCTAAAGTGTGCCAGGAAAACATCCCCCACACCATTACACCACCACCACCAGCCTGCACAGTGGTAACAAGGCATGATGGTTCCATGTTCTCATTCTGTTTACGCCAAATTCTGACTCTAACATCTGAATGTCTCAACAGAAATCGAGACTCATCAGACCAGGCAACATTTTTCCAGTCTTCAACTGTTCAATTTTGGTGAGCTCTTGCAAATTGTAGCCTCTTTTTCCTATTTGTAGTGGAGATGAGTGGTACCCGGTGGAGTCTTCTGCTGTTGTAGCCCATCCGCCTCAAGGTTGTGCGTGTTGTGGCTCCACAAATGCTTTGCTGCATACCTCGGTTGTAACGAGTGGTTATTTCAGTCACTGTTGCCCTTCTATCAGCTCGAACCAGTCTGGCCATTCTCCTCTGACCTCTGGCATCAACAAGGCATTTCCGCCCACAGAACTGCCGCTCACTGGATGTTTTTTCTTTTTCGGACCATTCTCTGTAAACCCTAGAGATGGTTGTGCGTGAAAATCCCAGTAGATTAGCAGTTTCTGAAATACTCAGACCAGCCCTTCTGGCACCAACAATCATGCCACGTTCAAAGTCACTCAAATCAACTTTCTTCCCCATACTGATGCTTGGTTTGAACTGCAGGAGATTGTCTTGACCATGTCTACATGCCTAAATGCACTGAGTTGCCGCCATGTGATTGGCTGCTTAGAAATTAAGTGTTAACGAGCAGTTGGACAGGTGTACCTAATAAAGTGGCCGGTGAGTGTATATCGGCTATTTTTCCAAGCATAATCACGCTTTTGGAATTTTCTGATGTACATCGTATATGCCAACATTTGACTTTTCTTTGGTTTGTCTTTGTTTCTGTTTTTAGTTCTCTTAAGAAATTTTAGGAAGAACATAATGGAACACATTTAAATGAAGAATTTAATTACGTATATTGAAGAAAAATATCTGAGAACTCCATTAGGTAAAAGAGCAACCTATTTCCTCTGGGCCTTTTAACTATTTTGGAAGACGTTGAAAGACTGAAACACTCTGAATATTGGCATTTCTTCTTTTGTACGGTTTAAGATGGCTTTTCTTACCCTTTGCATTTCACATAGAGGTCAGAGGATTCAATTTTAGTAGATTAAATTTAGCATTTTTATAGCTATTCAGCATTCTGGCATCAGGCCGAATGGATACGTTTTATTGGCAGATTTTGAACTCCATTGAGAGCGACTGTCAGTTTTAAGAATGACTGACAGACTTTGAAATCTTCTGTCGCTAAAAGGCCCAGAGACACATCCACTAGCAATCTCTCTATACATTGTAACCGATCACTTGCCAATATTCAAGTCTTTAAAAAATAATTAAGGATGGCATTAAATTAATATCTGTATGCTGTTTAATTATTCTTTCTGCATTACATATTCTGGTAGAGTATGTCTGTGTCATGAATTGTTTTTATTTTTGTTCTTGGGTGGATAGATGAAACTTGAGAACAAAAGTAACTCTAAAACAGGCAGTGATTTATTTTACATTCACACTGTCTGTTCAGAATATGATATATCAGCCTGCAACACAAACACAGATACAGTAGCTCTGTTACAATGCCTTACTGTCTACTGCATACATAAGAAGAATTTACAAAGAGGCGGCAAATAAGACATTGAATGAAATGTGACATTTTGAAGTAGAAAGACTGAAATAGAATTTTCTTGTAAAACATACTCCATAATCTTTGTTTTATTTACAACTTTGATTTATTTTTATTTTTTTACAATGTAGGCAGCATCCTATGTGAACTAAAATGAAAATGTGTGATTTGAAACTTCATATGCAGCAATCCTGGTTCACACAAATAGCCTTCCACACATGAACCACACAGGAGACTTGATTCACAATTTATTGCAGTAGATTTAGACATTAGCATGTTGCTTAGCCCAAAAAAAAAAACAAAGCACAGAATGCATAGAACTCTTACATATTTGGGAAAATAGTCAATTTAATCAGGATTGAATTACTGAAATTCTTTGAGAGAAATACATTTATGGTATGGAAGGACTGTGTAAATAGTATGTAGAGAATTTGGGAAACATCTGGTTTCATATGATTTCTAAGGGTGTGTTCACACTTGGTGGGTTCAGATTGAATAAAACAAACTCTGGTGCGATTTCTCTGTTAGTTCAGTTTATATGATGAACACTGCCATCTGAACCCTGGTGCACACCAAACAAGTAAACCGAGACTCCTGAAAAGGGGAAATTTAGCCCAGAACACAGCATTATACACAAAATATACGTCATAAGACTTTTTTTTTTTGGTGTTTAAAATGACAGAGTAAAACACTAAGCGAACTGGGACTAAATGTATCATTTTCTTTTTTGGTTCTGACCAAAAGAACCAAGAGAACCGAACTACAAGCGTGAACACACCCTAAATTACGATTATGGTGGAGATGTTTCATATTGGTTAGGCTGGTTAGAGCTGGTCGAGCAGATTAATGACCTAAACAAGGTTTTACTGTTCTGGGCTGTGTTTCCCAAAAGCATTGTGAGCTAAGTTGATCATAGAGAACATTGGTGGCAATGGTCTTCACACCCTTTTGTCCAAAAACAACACTTTTGGGAAACGCTGCCCTGGTTTCTTGGAATCCATTCACTCCCAATCCATCTTTAACAAATGACCCATTTCTTTTCATACAAAACATCAACAGGACTATACTGTCAGTGTGATGTATCTTTAAAGCTGCCATCACTGAAAACTGTTAGCAACGCTAGCTTAAATCTGATTATTGAATTTTCCCTTTTTGCTTTGTCTACAGAACAACCTCCCTTTGGACTAAACAAAAAATGATGAATGTGCTTTTTCCTTGACTGGTCCGGCACAACAGAAGGGACTCCACTTCAATTAGCGAGGACATCTGAGGACTCTTCTTTCCTAAAGCCAGAACTGAACAATGACAGTGAACAATGGCACATCATCACAAATAACTCCGTTTTGTGGCTTTTAATTCTGAGTGAGGAAGAGAAGTCAGATATTTTGTGAGCCTGCGTGACGTGAAAGAGGATTTGAAGTACCGGCTTGCAACCCAACTGGTTAGTTGGAATTCATGAGGAACGTGGGTGAGCTATCTAATAGTTTTTCCATTTTGAGGGCCATTTTATTGACAAAAGGTGAGCCTATTATTGCTGATTTAAATGATTCAAGCAGTTCCTGTCACGCCATCTTTTTACTGATTGGATAGTCCTTACGGATCTCCAATTTCCTGGACTTTCTGCATGGACCGCCACTCCTCTGGAATAAAACCGCTCAGGATGTACACCGTTGCATCTCACTGATTCTCAGACATCAACTCAATAAGAAGAAGCATACTCGCAGTCTAGCAAACAACAGACAGTCAAACAGCAGGACAGAGATCCAGTGAGTCGATGTGGAGTCCATTAGCTTTCACTGCCAGATCTCCCTCAGAGCTGAAACAGCACCTATTCAGCTTCAGTGTCAGAAGTAAGAGCTCTCTCTATGTTATCTCCTTCTATCCCACTCTCTCCGGCTAGCTTATCCTGATCCTGCTATTGACAGATCTGATGTCCAAGTCAAACTTAAAAGAGTACGCTAGCTTTGTTGTCCTGTTTTCAGGCTACTTTTGTGCCACCAGAATTGTCAATTGATTTGGACAGTATGTGGTTAAGGTCCATAATAAATAAGCAGTTATTGACAAATTATTTAGTGTAAACTAAACGGATTTTAAAACCTAGTGAGCTGCCTCCGTAGACAGCATTTGTAGGCATCATAGACACATAACACAAAGATTATTCCACATTTTAGGCTGCTTTCAAAGATATCTTGTTTTAACCAGATTGTAAAGCAGCATTGCATGAATTCTCCAAGATAATTCTCCAATTAAATGGCAGAAAAAGCTGAAGATATACTTATATGCATACTTATGTTGAATACTGGTGGCATGGAGGCTGGATGTATGAATATTTAATACTGAAACGTATTGATAAATTACTATTTTTTTCCAGTTAAATTCTGTGCAAGAACTGAAAATGAATGTTAAATATGAGATGTTGGTCTAGGGGTAATATTTTCAACCCAGGCTCATTGGAAAACATGTCTACGATGACATTTATACAAAATGTTATATGTTGCTTCTTGCCATTTTCACAACACTTTTAAAGTTCAAAGTGATGCAAAAAGCATGTTCAGTTTGAACCGAAACAGATAAATTAAAACTCAACGTAAAAGGTTAATGCTCTACCGCATTTGAAAATAACGTACCACAAACACTAAACCCAACCCTAAACATAACCAATACTGTTAACAAAAGAAATGTAAAATAAAATTTGCTCTTTGAGCTTATTTATCATGACTCAAGTCAGTGTTGAGCTACAAAGCAAGTTTACTACATCATAGAGCTGGTTATGTGAAACTAACATTAAAATGTACTTATTATTTACAAATCATGCACTGGTAAAGGTGTTTTGAGGTCATAGTAACCATATACAAAAGTAGCTTTATTAATCAGTAACCTACCACTGTTGCCCATTTATAATTTGTGCGAAAAGAAATAAAAGTTGCCACTAGCGTTCATTTCAGCTGGAAACTGGAGTGAAATGTAGGTACATTTAAAAAAATATATAATTAATGTGTTTAATGCATCATCTGTTTTTCCACCTCCTGAGGCTTTGATTATGAGCAGATTCTATGCCTCTAATACTATATTGTACTGAATTGCATTAAAATCCAGTGTATACCATGCATCATCTTACTTAGAGCGCAATATCTTTGGAAATAATGCTTTTCATAGAACTATTGAAACTTGTGATACTGACATTATATACAGGAGAAAGGCTCAATTCGCACACAAAAATACTTACACTAAATGTTTTAATTAGTAATTTAAGTAAAATAATTACTAAATAAAACATTCAGGAGAAGTATTTCTCATTCAAACAGTAGAGCAGATAGAGTGATGACAAAGACAGAGGAACACCAGTTACTTCTCATAAATAATAAACAAAGCTACAGTAACCGAGACATTTATTATTATAGCTTTATAGGATGATTGAAGTTTAAATTTATCATAAGATACAGATTGAATTTGTAAATATATTTATATGTTATGTGCAGTTAATCATGATCAATCACAGAAGCCATGTGCGATTAATTATTTACAAAAAAAGTGATTCACATGCAGTCCTACTTTTTACTTTAATAAATTGCTACTGTATCTTGTGTGTATATCATGATGATTTGGGCACACATTAGTTTGCATTGTATTTATATTTCACTAGAAGATATAGCGAGCCTCATAACAGACAATAGATAAGAGCGCATGTCTTAGAGCTTCCTGCGCTTGAAAGAACATCGCCACTGTTGCTTTTCACAACCGATAACAAATTATAGTGCTGGATTGCCTCTTATTATAATGCACAGCCTGCTCAACAACTAGAGATGTGATGTTTCCTCTGTTTTAGACATTTCCTTGCTGTGAGCTATTTCATAAAGTGTGTGTGTGTGTGTGTGTGTGGGGGGGGGGACATATATATATTTATAATAGGGCTGTAGGTTGATAAAAAAATCCAATTAATTACACGATACGCTGATTAATTAATTACATTTATCACAAATTAAATGCAAATTTCAATATTTGCTGAGAAAACCACCCAGATGAAGAATACATTTGAATTTAAAGGTGCACCCATTAATTTTTTTGTATGTTTAGCTGGTTGTTTGTTCCAATCCAGCATCTCCAAAGTTGCCATGAAATGGATGTAGTGATAGTCTTTTCTTCTCTATTGTGTCGTCTGTTTGAGGGAAACAGCTTTACAAACAAGAAAAAATGTAGATTTGTTTTTCTCCATCAGGAAATGATTGGATGGTTGTGGTTTGCTATTGGTGGATCTCATGTGAGTGACAGTTTGCCCCGCCCCCACGCCAGCAAACACATCATCAGAGAAGAGATGTCGCTGCAAAAATTATTTTGATTCAAGATTACACGGGCACATAATATATTTTAAAAATAATAATATTAATAATAAATTATAACAGAACAAAAATAAGTACTATCAATTTTAATTTCATGGTGACGTTAAAGGATTAGTTCACTTTAGAATTTATTCTCGCCCCCACGTCATCCAAGATGTTCATGTCGTTCTTTCTTCAGTCGAAAAGAAATTAAGGTTGTTGAGGAAACTATTCCAGGATTTTACTCCATTCAACAGGGATCAACGGGTTGAAGGTCCAAATTGCAGTTTCAATGCAGCTTTAAAGGCTCTACTAATCCCAGCCGAGGAATAAGAGTCTTATCTAGCCAAACCATCGGGCATTTTATAAAAATAATAATTAAAAAAATACTTTTTTTTTACCACAAATGCTCGTCTTGCACTAGTTCTGCGATGTGCCACGCATAATCACGTTGAAAGGTCACGGCTTACAACGGAAGTACCGACCTAGTGTTTACATAGCGAACGTGCAAAGACTAAGTCAAATGCCATTGCCAAAATAAATACATAAATAAAAGGTAAAGCAATGATGTCGGGACGATTTTGAAGTTGAAGGAGAAAATGAGATTGTTTTTTCGCCCTACCCTTAGTTTTTGAACCGGAACACACGTGACCTTTCAACATTATTACATAAAGTGTGGCGCATCGCAGAGCTAGTGCAAGACGAGCATTTGTGGTAAAAAAAGTATATGAATGTTTATTTTTTAGAAAATGACCGATGGTTTGGCTAGATAAGGTCCTTATTCATCGGCTGGGATCGTGTAGAGCCTTTGAGGCTGCATTGAAACTGCAATTTGGACCTTCAACCCGTTGATCCCTGTTGAAGTCCACTATAAGGAGAAAAATCCTGGAATAGTTTCTTTTCGACTGAAGAAAGAAAGACATGAACATCTTGGATGATGTGGGGGTGAGTAAATTATCAGGAAAATTGAATTCTGAAGTGAGCTAATCCTTTAAGTCTGACGTCACGTGTCACAGTTTCCGGGTCCAAGCGCTCTATCCCAGAAGCAAACAACATACACACAATGTGCTGTGATACTACTGAAAAATCATGATCATCTCCATACCAAAATCTCAGGTGCCTGTCAACATATGTATTTCCATACTCACACAGACTTCACAAGTCATCAGCGGGTTTCATGAGGTTATGCAGAGTTAGACAGACAGTCAGCGAGCGATCGCTGAACCAAAACAACAAGCATATGCTGCGTTCACAACATGTCGTAACCGTAATTACAAGATGGCAACCCATGACGTTCTACCTGGAGCTGTTCACGCCCTCAGATTTCTGCTTTTCTATGTCAACACTATCAACACCGAAATGAATTTGCAGCTGTCAGGAGGTACAAGAAGTGGCTCTGTAAGCGGAGTAACTTTCCTTATTATTGTAATGTTATGTGCTTTGAGACTTCAAGCTTGAATTGCTTATACAAGTCAAGAGGTCATGATTAGTTTAGCTATTATTTGTTGCATTATTATTTGTTTAAAACTAAATCTAAGGGTGTGTTCACACTTGGCATTTTTGGTTGGATTAAAACGAACCCTGGTGCGATTTGCTCTTTTAGTGTGGTTCAGTTGAATAAGTGTGAACGCTGCCATCTGAACCCTGGTGTGCACCAAACAAGTGGACCTAGACTCCTGAAAAGACGGGTCTCTGTCCCCTCGCAAACGAACTAGTGCGGTTTGACTGAAATAACGCAACACGGACCAAAGACATGTAAAGCGAACCAAAAACAGGATGTGATGTCACAAGGTGCGACCCTAAAAAGCACAGAATGCTGGTTTTCTCGTCTGAAAAGGCGTCAGAACCGTGTCGTCTTGCTGCAAATCTTCACTTGTGTGTGATGGAGGAATTACAGGTGATGTTTTGACTTCTTAACACATTTTCTAAGATCTTTGTGAGTTCTAAGTAAAAAATACCATCACATGTACACACATACAACGAGCCCATTAGTCCAGCACACGGCTGGACATAAAAGCCGTTTTTGTTGTTGTATCTTTGGGTTCGGAGTTACAAATGCTTGTGTTTAATGCTAAGCGAACCTGGACTAAGGGTGTATTCACACCTGCCTTGTTTGGTTCGATTGAATCGAACACTAGTTTGTTTCCCCCCTTGGTGCGGACCTTTTGGGCAGGTGTGAATACAGCAATCGAACTCGGGTGCGGACCAAACAACCGAACCGAGACCCAGCTGAAGAGGTGGTCTCGGTACGCTTCCAAACGAACTCTGGTACGGTTCGTTTACGGTGTGAACAAGAACCGACCCAATTGCAAGAAAGCACTGCGCCTTTGAGTTAACAGGCTTCCGTAGTCGGAGATTTTGGCATAATGGTTTGTGTTATTGTTGTTCAAGTGCGAAAGAGAATTCCATTCCGGCGCGCTGTCTGGCCACACGATACTGGTGCGCGTCTTTCTGCGGGTCGTGTGTGTGCATCATTGGAATGGAATGAATGAATGAGTGTGTGCATCAGGACATTCACATACAGAGCGTTCTCT